GAGAGAGAGGAAGGAAGGAAGCGAAGGCACGAGAGAGTCGATTGTCGCATAATTTATTGCGAGCTTTCAGGCAGCTCCCTAATGCACCTGGAAATACAGGATACTTGATCAACTTCCTAATACAGCTGCTATGCACCGCTCAAACGCCTAGCGCATCGGAACGTACGAATATCGACTCACCAAATTATTTTGCAGTCGCCATACCGTGGTTTTATTTCCTGCCGAAAGGAAAAGAGAGAGGAGAGAAGAAGGGAGAAGGAGAGAGAGAGAGAGAGAGAGAGAGAGAGAGAGAGAGAGAGAGAGAGAGAGGGGGGGGAGAGAGGGAGAGAGAGGGAGAGAGGGAGTCTTCAAGAAGACAAAGCACACTAAAAGTCCTGCCTGTTGCGGTCTCACGAAAAGCAATAAATTCTCTATTCGCCCTCCCCCTCCGCGCGCGATATAAGCTTGCATCAATTGTATCTCCCCGCAAGTTTCTTTATACTGTATAAATGTTTAAGCGTAAACCTATGTCTTATGTAAATCGCGTGTATCCGTGTGTGTGTGTGTGTGCACACGCGCAACACCACTGCGATTTCGCGTTGCTTTACGGCCGGACGTGTCGCTTACGCGCGCGGTATTTTACGCGACGGCGCGATGACGACGGCGGCGGCGCGGTATTGTGCGGTTTCGGGACCGCGGAGGCGGGGCGGGGCGTGTTTGTTAATTGTACTTTGCTTTACTCGCCTCCTTAATTCCCGCCGACGTAATTTGATCGCGGAGATTGTTACTCGGCCGTTATGCGGCGGAATTATTGCAATCCGTCGCGGCCGCGTTTGTGCGGCTGTTTATGGCTCCTGCGCGCGGCGCAACGGCGAGCTACACGACGAGAGAGCGTAAACTCGAAAGGGAGAATTGCACACCCGATGATCATATTTCATATTTACATCGAGTGTTTCGGAAACGCCCGGAGCGCACTTGAACTCCCCAGCACGTGATCTCGCACGGCGCGATTTTTGGTGACAACACCGACTACGTCTCTCTGCCAAGGCGGGAAGCGCAGAGATTTTCAGGGAGATCTTTGCTCCTCGACAATGAGTGAGAATTTGATGAATTCAAAGTTCGACCTACGCGAATCGAGCATCGAGTTTTTTGTTTCTTTCAGCGCTGATCGATTTTGGGTGAGATCGAGGAGCACCCTCGATGAATATTATTATCGGATAACAGGGCGTCGCCTCTAACGACGACAGTTCGCTCCTCATCATGGGCGGCCATTGGCATTTTCCGAGGCTGTAAGTCGATAAGCAACACACGAAGATTCTCGCGCACAGGGGCCATTGGCTTTTATCGGAAGCATATTCAGGCTCTTATCGGCCGCCGGCGTGTCTGCGTTGCCGGGCACGAACGCGACTTTTGTGTGTCGGCAAAGCGATATAAAATGCGCAAGACAGTATACGCCGCATATCGGAAAATCCAAAGACACCGGCAGGAAATCAAATCGTTCCGCACGGCGTGAAGCGAAAGAGCGAGACTTGGGCGGCACGTCGAGGCGACATCTCGACATCACGTGCTAAACGAACATCCTGCAACTTCGTTCGATGAGAGATTTTCTGATGCCGCGGCAGGACGCGGCGAACTTCAACGATACCTCCTCGCCGGCCTTTGTGCCCTCGAAATTGCACGACATTCTTTGGAAGCTCGCCGGATAATATTGTATACACGCCTCCTCATACTGCCCGCGTCAAAAAAAGAGGACGAAAAAGGAGGAAAAAAAAAACGAAGGAGCGCGGAAATTCGGACCAAAGCACTTTTTTCCCACGCGAAAGGAAGGATTTATTCAAAGCTGAGGCCGTAGAGCAAAGCAATTAACAATACACCTCGACGTTAAAAAAAGGAGCGTCTCGTTTTATTCGACAAGCTAATAAGAGCATGAAACAACGTCCCGTCCCGAAGCTTTGGTGCCCTTTAGAGGTCAAGTAGAGAGGAAAATCAACGTAAAATTGAAAGGCAAAAGAGGAAGAGGAGCGAGAGCGGAATTATATACGCCGTGGAAAAATACGCCGGATCGCGTGACGCTTTCAAGAAAGCAGAGAGAGATGCAAATAGCTTCTGGCTTCGAGCGATGTTTTGTTTTCGGCCGTAAGACCTTCCGATTCGCGAACTGTTGCGCCGAACGAACGAATCGCTTAAAGCGATTCCGTTCCACACTATCAGACTCCTAATTTCGGAAGTCGGCGGTTGGGAACTTCGGAAACTTCCGCGCGAAGAGTTCCTCTCCTCGGGCTTTCAGCTGCGGTTCGGTTTCGGATTTACATCCCCGATTATATCGGGTGTCTCTCGTATGTTAATATCCTTTCGCGGTTTCGTCGCTTAAATCGCGAAACCATACTCGCGCATTCGCTCGTCTTACCGCCGCGACAAGTGCGCAGCAATGCTGATGAGAGGGGCGGCGATGAAAGTTTTAATCATTTCATTCCTGCGGCGTGTTCAGCACTTCCCTGAAACGCTGTTACTAATTCCGAGGCCAGCGGCGGAGGCGCTTTACGGTCGACATTTCGCGCAAATGAAATCCCCTCAGAATGACGTTAAACGCGAGCCATATACGCATATAATGTTCGCGTGCGCGACGACGACAATGACGACGACGATGACGATTACGACGACAAGCGTCGAACGAGTTTTCCTTCGAACGATTTCACCCGGTCAATCGCCGAATCTCTCAAGGGAGGGAAAATGGTTAAAATTGCTGCCCCACCAATATCACTCGGCTTGTATTATTCATTCTGTTGATTTATACACATACGAACTTTCACGCACGAGCTTTGTGTGTCCGTATAAAATAAATAAATAAATATAAATTAGCGAGATATAACAACGTCTCTGAGAGAGATGCGCGAACTCTGGCGGCGAAATATAATCGTGTATCCATTTCAGTTGAACAACGAGAGAGAGAGAGAGAGAGAGAGAGAGAGAGAGAGAGAGAGAGAGAGAGAAAGAGAATGAAAAACATTTATGAAATTTACGATACGTCGTTTACGCCGTGACTTCTTGATGCGCGCGCGTACATGTGTGTTTAATATATAAATTTAAATGCCCCACCGTAAAAATTCACGATTTATAGTCACGCTTGCACAACGGGATTTTATAGAGGATTCAATCATAACGCGAGTGCGCTCGCGCTTGCTCGCGCGCGCGAGTAATCGTTAAAATTTTACGAGGATTAAAGTGGATTTCATGCGAAAGCGATGAAATCCGTCTTTAGCGCGTAAACTCCTTAGCCGCGCGAGCTTTAGCAGCCGGTAAATAATAGCCGCGCGTGATTGGTTCGCAGCTCACGTGCTGCAAATCGCAATTCCGAATTCCCATGACGACGATCGCGGCGAATTGCGCCTCTGTCACGTTGTCAGGTTGACTTAACGCGATAAATTAGCCGGCCATTAAGTTGTTCCGGATTTACACGGCGCTTCTGGCTGTTTCCCTTAGACGCGCGATACATTACGAGCGCGAGGAACGTTACACGCTTCTTGAATCGGGGGGGGGGGGGGTGAGACGCCTTCACGTGTAAACAGCGGATCGCGGAATCGATATTTTTTCTGAGAAAATTTTGCACAAATTTTCTGCGCATACATTTCCCTCGGAGGTGACATCAACGGGCACCGTTGCGCCCGTCTCTTTGACGTAAGACATACTTTTTAAGTGTAATTTAATTAATTGGGAAAAAATGTAACTTCTTGTGTAAGTTCGAAAACTCTTTGCAGAAATTAAAATCGAAACTGCCGCGAGACTCTTTTGCAAGTTCTTCGCTCTCGCGAGTGAGCGGCGACGCGCATAAATTTCCGAGGAAACGTCCGCGCTCGCTGTCGCCGAGGGAATGAGCGCGAAAACGCGCGCGAGCCGTTTATTCCTGCAGATCCGGCGTGCACTGGAAAAGAAGACGATCTATTTGCGACTCTTTTCGTTAGTATCGAGCATGAAAGGGGTGACTTAATGCCAGAAATGCCTGTCGCAGGCGCACATGTAAACCAGACTCTCGGTGGCGTGCGGGAACGTTAATTGAAAGCGCGGTGGAGAAAAAAAAGCGATCCGGGTGCTCGCGCGACAAACAAAACGGGGAAGTCGAGTGCCCTTACAACGCGTTTCCCGCAAGGAAGTTCCATTAAAATGGTGATTCGTTAATCGAGTCCCGACTGATAAGCCGCTGATTCTCTCGGAGAAAACCGGGACAAATCGGATTAGAATGGAGTACAATCAGTTTCACATTCAGATGCCGAAGAGTACAATCCGAAACGTGATATTTGTGTACTTTAATTGACAAACAGCGGCGGAAGTGACAAAATCAGAGGGAGAACAAAATTAATCGCCGCAGCTTCGAGACGC